GATACTGATGTTTACTGCACAATTTCTATGCTTATACCACCTATGAGAGTACAGACATAATGCCAACTTACACTGTAACATGCTCTATCCTACAGAACCACTTACAATCTGAACTAAATCAAATTAAGTGTAAACTAAAAATAAAGCATAGTAAGAAAAGATTACTCACTTTACATACTTTTGTAAGCATACTAATATTTTTAAATCATCTGAAAATTGTGCAAGGTTAAGAGTATTGTTTAAAAAGTAAAAAAAAATTCACTTACAAAAAATTATTTAGGAAACATTTCAATTTGATCTTAAGAATAACCCGTTCCTTAAAAACTGCTTACCGTAAACGTTCTCTTTCTCTCTCCAATCTGAAACTTTCCTCTCTTTGTTTTCGTTCAATATCTTTCTGTCGTCGATCAGATTCTCTCTCTCGCTAGTGGAAAGCATATAGTTATATTAATCATCTTTAAGAAGCTTTATTATAGCATGTTCAATAATTCAAGAATTAACAAAAAGTTAAGATTTTAATATTTTGCAAAATGGCAATTTCCCTGTAGTAATTTAGATAACTTGTCTATGAGAAAATAAAATGAAATTACACGAAACACTATGAAGCAACAGTTACAATGAACTAACTGATAAATACAGCACAAAGAAATTAAACTGTGGTGGAATTAATTTAACAAAAGGTACCTAAAGCAACAGGCTTGAAATTCCTTAAGGTTTTCCTACACCCTCACAAACTTTCTCAGTTCCAAATTTATTTTTATATCACTTATAACTCATTACATTAAAGACTTCTTTAGATAATTGCCTGAAATATTTCACAGATAATAACATTTTCTGATACTAAGAAGTATTAAGTAACTTAATTACTTGTGCAGTTATTTCAAAAATTTGCAAATTAATTTTGTTAATTAAATATAAAGATATCCAGTTTATTGCTGACTTATATCTCAGAATAATTATTTAATATTACACTTTTCACGGCTAAAAGAAATCTTGTAGACTGTGTACTAAAAATGTATACAGATACTTGTAATTATAGCTGGCTCCACCAAATATTACAATTAAATATAGAAACGAATAAAAACCCTATAACCTGAGCACTTTCAAAATATAGAGTTTTATTCATTTCCATCAAGACTTCTTGAACCTACGTGTTTTTCTAACATCATGAACAATTAAATATAGTTATGATTTTGAATTATGAAATAAATACAAATTAACTATTTATTAATATTTTGTCAATATTGTATAGCAATGGTCAGTAAACTTATTCTATTATCTTTAGTCCTTTAACTAGTGATGAAATAAGGTGTTAAGTAATATCCAGAAATGGATGAGTTAAACTGCAGAGTTTACATCAAAACTTATTTCTTTATGATGTTCAAAATCTTATATTTACATGTTCTCTGAACAGTTTAATCATAAAGGTTAGAGACAATATAAACTACTTTTTCTTCTGATTCCAGAAATAAAACACAAAGCTATTTTATAATTGAAAAGGAAGAAAAAAATACATATAAAAAACATTTTATATGATATTTTTGTGTTCAAAATTGAAGGCATGAAAAGTAAAAAATAATGAATAAAATTTATATGTATTAACAACTTGTTCATAGAAGCAGTTTAAATTTAACCAAATCACATATATACATAGAAATACAAACCCTGAATCTTTGAAAATAGAAGCTGCTAGACCTGTTGAACCGAGACCCAAACCTTGGCACAAAGGGTTTCCTACCAAAATCACGTCTTTGTGAAAAGTTATTTCTTGCACTAAATGACCCGCGACCTCTCCCCCTGCCTCTTCTTCGGTTTATAAAAGGTCTTGCTCGACGTGAAAATCCATGCCTACTACGTTCAATTCCACGACTTCTAGAATGGCTACGTGTTGACCCTTCCTTGTCATCTGATTTCTTTTCCTTCGAAGTATCTTCCTCATTTTCCTCTTTGTTTTCATCAGCAGTTACCTGTTCTTCACCTTCAAACAAAATCATTTAAAAAATATTGACTACCAAATATTTTCTAATAATGTTAATATTAAAAAAAAGAAAATTAAGCAAACTGTAAGACCTAAAAAAGAAGAAGAAAAAAAAGGTTTTGTAAAAACATTTAATTTCAATTACCGCTTGTAATACATCAGAGAAAATGTGAGATCAAACACATATTCATAAACAAAACACACCTTGTTCAGATGGTTTTTCCTCCTCTTTATTTTCTTCCATTTCTTCCTCATTCTTAGCATCCTCTTCCTTAGTTGTAGTTTCCTCTTTCTGTGGTTCATCTAAAGGGAAAACAATCTATATAATTAAAAAAGTAATGTGTGTGGGTGTGCATGCATGGAAAGCTTTTAAAATTTCATCAAAATAGTCAAAAAACAAAATTCGGAGTAGGGAAGTACAGTTGAGGTCACCATATGCATAAGGGGAGGGGTGGATGTAGACAGTACTATGTATATCAAAGGGAAAGATATTTGTGGAATGGATCTGTCATCCTTTAGAATCCCAACTGACACAGCAGTGTTTATGCATTAAGAATTTGGGCATGACTTCATTCAATTTTTTATAACCAGCACCATTAACCCATTGAGATTAATACTTGTCCCCAATACCTAGGTTTTGAAAACATCATTAAATACGGTGTCTCTTACTAGATAAGTTGATTAATTATTCATTTTTGACCAGACCATTTAGCTCAAAGTGTACCTTTTGTACTAGAGATATTTGATGGGTATCACATGTCGTGGAATAGATTTAACCTCCCGGTCGTTGAGATGCCATCAGATTCATTTAAAACTCTACATTTCTAACCTCTGATTTTTTGTCTACATGAGACTTAATGCTTACTAAAAGTTTGCAAAATTTTGTGTAGATACACAAAACATATTAGAAGTTATAATATGGAAACTATAAAGGTCAGCATGGGTTCATAAACTCCGCTGATTCAACCAAGCCCATACCAAAAGTGTTAAAGCAATAAAAGATGCTAGGGACTTATCCCTTCTATGGTAGACATACAATGTGATGTTTTATACCAGATTTTTGTAGAGCTACATGAATAATGACAAAAGAACCTATATTTCCGAGATTACTCTACCTTTCTCCACCTTCGGTGCTACAGATATGGAGGCCTCAGCAGTGTCCGACCCTTTAGGTGTTACTTTTTTACTTCCCGTTGTTCCTGGCTTTCCTTCAGTTCTCTTTAATGTACCAAATGGCTCATGCTTGGTCTTTACAAGGATAATGAAAGCAAAGTCAAAATTAGCATCTCAATCAATTGTTCAAGATTCTTTTTAACACAAGAAATTATTTTTCTTTATAAAGTTGTTTCACATAAATTACTTTTTTAAACTATACACACAGAAGGAAAATGTTTTGATAATATTCCAGTAAGAATCTTTTAGTACAAAAACATTATTTTAAGGACTGAAAACAGAAAAGTACATGTGAAAGAATTAAAATCCATTAAACATTACAGCATAAGGTAATGTAAATCTGAGATTAAAAATTACCACAGTCTTGCTAATCAATTGTATCCTAGCTTTCACCAGTATGTTGTAAAATAATTTTTAATAGTAGTACTTGACTTTTGTCTTGATACGTAGTTATTTGAAAATACTAAAATAGTGATGTAGCCAAGTATTACACTTCACATTTTTTGCAGTAGGTTAAAATACTCCAAACATTACTAGTACTTGGTATGCACTGTGCTAATGACAATTATTAAAAACTAAAAATGACAAGAAACAACATAATGATTCAAAACTTACAAGTTTTTTTTTCATGAATTTTATACATACATGCTGATAAATATGCAAAAATGCACTGTTGGTCATAAGTACTGGATAGATGAAATCTTAAGACTAATATTCAACAATAAAAAACAAGCTTACATCTTACACATTACATCTGTATACAACAAGTATGTGCCAGACTTTTGCCAGTCACGAGCAATTTTTTTACCAACAATTAATACACATAAGCACAGTTATTTTGCACTGGTTTCCTGGAATATATAGACTACTTCAAATATATTAATGGTTACAAAATGCTACAAATATATAATACCAGATATATCTTTACAAAGAATACATTAACATATATGAGATATATATCATCAATTTCCAGGTTTGTGTGTTCTGGTAATGATCACTGTACACAATCACTAGCCATTCAATTACATTAAGAACCCAAAAATTCAACATATCACCTTAACGACTGACAAAAACACACACAATAACAATTTTAACCTTCTTCATTTCTCCCATGATAAAAAGAAACAAGCATAATTCACCATCATGTTATATATATATACATCAATACTCTAGAAAGCCCATTAGTTGCTGTGGTGGTAATGTATTTTTACAACCTATATATTTTCTCTTCATGGATTTGAACCTGAGATAGATCACACTCCAGGTGAGTACTCTACTAACTAAGCTAAAGGATTAATTCATTAGTGCTCACTAATAAGTCACTTTTTAACAACTTAAACTACTACATTCTTCCTCTCTCACAAACAGTGCCCATTCTCAGGTTTAATTTACAGGTCATGGGATGGACCCATGCTGGGAACAAATGTGGTGATTTATATTTACAGTATATGTTAACTTGCCTTGAACAAAGACTTATCACACCACATATGAGTGTTCTATCAAATCAGCTAAAGGATTACCCACTAGCACTAGCTAGCTAGTCACTTTTTAACAATTCAAACTTCTACACCGGATTATTAAAAAGCACCAATATTAATGCTGATATTTAGCTGACTTACTGCTCTTTCATTCTTACGAAGCTTTCCAGTGAAGAGAATAAAAGGTCTATTTTTAGAGACAAAATGTGTTAAAACTAAAACTGGTACAGGTATATTTGTTTTAGCAAAGCCAGATTTGCTTAGTCATGGCAAGTTTTGAAACACCATGTCTATTTTTTCTGTTCTCACTTTAGTCTTATTTCCCCCTACTGCTGAATTTAATCTCAGAATTAATATCTTTTGTACCAGTAAGACTTAAATTATTTATCAAATTTGTTATAACCAATTCTTTTTCTTACAGAAACATAAGTCTATGGCTTTGACGTCTTAAAAAATTAGGAAGATTCTCTCAATTGACATTAAAATGTTTTTACTGATAAACTTCAAGTGCTTGTTCTTTTTAAATAAATATTTTTAATTATTAAGTTCATTTACAATGTTGTTCATATAATATGCTTCATAAAAAGCTGCAGTGTAAAGTGAAACAAGAAATATTTTCTTTGAACTGACGTGATTAATAGAAATTTTCCATATATTACAATTATGCTGTACTTACCTGTTATTTATTTTGGCAATAGATGCTTGTCCCCTAGATCTAACTTGAAGGTAAATCATGATGAAGATGAGAATTCATTACTTTATTGCCTTGCTTGGCAAGTAATCCTCAATAAAGTTTTTTTTTTAATGAACAGTTAATTTTATTTTTAAGAATTTAATGTATATTAGCAATTTATTTCAGCTCTTAATGGTGTTCTTTTTGTGTTTGTTCAAATGTATTTCAAATAAAATTTAGTATGTTCACTAGAACTTTGACTTTTCGAGAAACACATTCAATATGCAGTAACCACAGATATCAACTAAATTAGCTGATGTTTTTTAAAATTTGAAATCTTAATTTTACTGTTTTAACTTCTAATAATTTCATGTTACCGTACTTAATTACACATTAGGTTATCCAATCTTTCAATATTAACTATTTTGGTTCTTAGTAGATATAACAACATGCATAAAACATTTCATTTGCAATTGGGTTTTATGAACATCACAAAACATCAGAGCAAACAAAGACTATATTCAAAAAACAATTAGGCACTCTTTAAAAAATATTTTGTATTTCATTTTAAGAACAGTAGGTTAAAAAAGTATTTTGTCTTATTTCAAACTTCATTACCTTCTCAACAGATATCATCTTTCCATGTAGTTCTGTTCGGTGAAGATGTTGTATGCATTTAGAGGCATCCTCACTGTTTGCCATGGTAATAAGCCCATAGCAACGTGATCCTGGAGTTTTTGCATTAGTAACAATTTTGGCACCCACAACCTGGATGAGCAAAAAAAAAAATATATCGTAATAACTTATTTTATGTTAAGAACTGTTTGATGCATTATCTACAGGAAAAATTAATAATAATTGTATAAAAATATGCATTTACTTATTACTAGTATTATGGCTTATGTAAATACTCACTTAAAAAAATACAATGAAATTTATACACCACTGGTTATTTATCATCCAGCTCTATCAATCTTTATTGTTCTTCTAATTTTTTATTTCCAGTGAATTCCTGTGTATTATACTGACAGTATAAAAATATTAAACATGACTGACTATTAAGCAGAGGAAACATTTATACAACTAACTAAATTGCTCACTAACAGCAGAAGGTTCTGGTGATCACAACTGAGCCACATTTTAAATTGAAGCTTACAGTATTAGTATTATATTGTATTATCCTAACTTTTCTTCCTTATCAATGGGAAAGTATCCCTTTATAAAATAGTCAAATTTTGTTTTCTAAGTACCAAAAAAAAGAAAAAAAAGAGGCTTAAATGTAAAACCAAACTTCAAATGTTTGGAGAGAGTGGAAAATAAAAGGAGTCTTACTTTGCCGTGTTTACTAAACAAAGACTTCAGGTCTGCAGCCCTGGTATTGCTAGCCAATCCACTAACCCAAAGGTTTCTGCTTGCTGCAATCATACGTTTACTTCGTTCTGTAACAAATTTGTTTAAAACTTAAAAAAAATGATACATTAGTGTAATTTGAAAACTTTATATTTGTAACATGCAAAAAATCCAACATAATCAATATGTATATATTTATACTAGATAATCAGACTAAATATCAAAAATATAAATTCATCAAAATTATTCACTGAAATAGTTTGAAATCATCATTTTGATACTTAGATAAATATCCCTATACATCCAATGAGTCTAGACAACAGAAATCAATTGGTAAAAATAACATTCTACAAATTTACTAACCAATTGATATTATTCAAAAAATTTGTTTTTCAAAACTTTCAGAAACCAGGTTATTTAGATTTGTCTGTAAAAAATTAATACCCTTAAAAACACACTTCCAGAACTTATGTTTCTATTAAATATTTTGTACCTAATAATACTGTAACTTCAATGTGTTTTTTGTTGTTCTAAAACAGACTATACTCTAAACAACAATAAAAAAATTTCTTGCACAAGTCACTTTGATTCTGTAGAAATATATACTTTCCAGAAGCAAATACACCATTTTCATAAACACTAAATTGACAAAAAAATCAAATCAGAAACATACCCAGGTGTAATCGATAGTACACTTACCTCTTGTTTCCTCTTTAGCAACACTTTTCCCATTTTTTGGAGCAGTGCTATTTAAAAACACAGAACATTTACTCAAGTAATAAAAATATTGTTAACAAAGGTTAGAAATCCAATTCTAATTTAGATTCACTGATACAGGTTTAATTTTCAATCATGATACAAACAATTCAAATGAAATTTAAAGATTAACATTTCATTCTCCCCCAGAGCTTTAGAATAATAAATAGTTTGATTAGAAATAATCTAATAAATATAAAAATAATGCTTAAGTGATGCATATACTAAATCTGATAAATTTCAGTAATTTTAGTACTGTTCTTGAATAAATGTGAGGATGATTTCTTTTAAGATAAAACCATAAAAATAGTTATGATACACTATAACTGCAGTCTGGACCTATAAATGTCTTCAAGTTTTAATCAGCTGTGGATTACTGTTGTTTCAAAAACAAAAGCTGAAACTAAATCATTCACCTGCATGGATTGTGTTACTTAGGAACAGACAAACCTCTTAGCCTTGCTAGCAGCAGTAGTTGTGCTTGGTTGTTGTTCTTCAGTTGTTTTAGTTACAGAACCATCCCCCCCTTCCTGTGCCGTTTCTTTCTCATCCACTGCTTCTTTCTCCTGTTGATCACCATCTACGGCTGCTACACTGATTTTCTGAGTAAGCTTAATTTTTTTCTGATCACTTGAGTCTAAATCACTGGGTTGTATTTCTTTCTTAGACTCTATGATTGCTGTTGAAAGAGTTTTGTCCTCATAATCTTTGTCATTTTTACTCTCACTTTCTAAAGATTGTTTGTCATTACCTAAATTGTTAGAGTTATTTTTATCATCACGATAACGATCACTACCAGTCTCACTCAGTGCACCTTCCAAATCTGCATCCAAGTCACTTTGCATGTCATCGATGTTAACTATCAGAGATGAATCCGAAGGTTTCTGATCTGGAGAATGCATGCTAAGTACATCTTCTACTGTAAGTGGAGCAACAACAGGTGCAGATTCTGGTTTTGGAGAAGAGAGTGCAGAAGCCTGTTCAACAGCAACCTCTTCTGAGTTATCTTTAGTTGAATCCCATTTGTTGTTAGTTTGCTGGATACTGTCCACTTCCTCTTGTGATTTAGAGTTTTCTTCTTCAAGTGTTGGTGTCACAGACATGCCTTCTTTGGTCATTTCTGTTGTTAATAAATTAATATTATAATGGATCATATGATTACTAGTATCCAGGCTGGTACTCAGACCAAACCTTCTTGATGCTCATAACAGGTAGTATATAAAAATAATACCACAAATTTCCCAGGCAGTGGCCTGTGAGAGCACTCATTCACAAACATAAAAACAAATAAAACTATGAACAAACTGTCAGTTTCCTTAACAATCTTGTTTTCTATTTCCACTAAAACATAAACAATGAACTTTTAATATCAGTTTAGAACTCACTTTTATTTTATTTTTACTAAATATATATATATCAAATATCCGAAATTTCAGAAGCTTACATATGATGACTCCTTAAATATTTCAAGCAGAGAATCCATGAGGAAACCAGTTGCTTCTCACCACTTTCACCAAAACCGGAATACGAACACTATTCTTTCCATTAATTCCCAAATGAATATTAGTTTTCATAGCATTCTTGAAGTTGTTTCAAAAGAGCCACAATGCCCACTTTCCCAAATAGGGGGCTGCCTGTAATTTCCCATGTTTGGAGGAAACTACAACGCTTTCTAGGTTTCTCAGAAAGGCCTTGTTAAATAATATTTCTATGAAAACTGATCCACCTTATTACATGTTTTGGATGTTTTTGTAATTGCTGGATGACACTTTTCCATTAGGGTGAAACATCATATTTTTATTTTTAAATAGCTATTCCAACACCTATGCCATTGCCTTGAATGAAAACAATCACTATTATGCTCTATTGAGCAAGGAATTAAAACAGCTGCTTATTCAAGATGTATACCAACCCCTGTCTTGGGTGAAAAACATTCTTGTTGATGTTTATGGTAATTTCACCATCCAACAATTTGACAAACTCCACAAACAATGCAATAAAAACATCATTTAGTCTTGATTCAGCCACTGAGATCTGCCTTTACAGTGACTGTTGATTTTACTTACCAAAGCTGGTTATATAGGATACAATTTTTTCCACTTTCTTCACATGTGGGATGTGTAAGATTCTGATATTTTTTTCCTGTTCAGCTAACAAGCCCTTCCCATTAAATAAAAAAAACCAAGGGGACAGTAATTAATCTTAGGTCCAATAATAATCTTTCAACTGTAGTTGTTGTCCTTTCCAAGAAAAGAAGTAAAAGAGTACTTAAATAACAAACATTTAATGTTTTGAATTATATAAAATATCTCCTAAAATAATCCCTAGCTCAAAGTAACATCTAATACACTGACAACTTTTTTTATACTTTAATATTGATCATACAGATTTTAGCATCCTTCACCCTACAGTTAGAAATTTGTGCTTTTAACATCTCCATTATGATGACTTTGTCACAATATCTGAACACAAACATTAGAATAATTTGGAAAAAACATTAATTACTATATCCCATGTGATTCTAAAAAAGGTTAGCTTCATCTACACAAATGTTTGCATTTTATTTTTCACCTTCGTTAGGAATTTTCATTGTATGCTGATTATAAGAAAACATGCTTCACTTACTTACTACGATCTCTTCAAATTAAATACAAATGTCATGGCAACAACAACTAAGAACAAGGTCACTATCCTCATTCCTCTTTTACTAATACATTTTCTCAAATGCTTCACTCATTAAAATCTAAACAAGCAGGAAGAACTAAACTCACAAACTTTAATATTTTGCTGGGTGAACGTACTGAAATATAGAATCTTATTAATTGGATAAAATTGTAAGAAAATAATTTTATTTCTCTTGCAGATCTACTATAATTTGTTAGCATACAAATACTTTTGAGTGTAACTTATGCAAATGGAAAGCTATTATCTGCTTTATACACAATTATATATTCATAAACATATTGTTTAAAACATTGCTTAAGGAAAATGCTGAAATTTTTTAGTTTCAAAAACAAACAAGTTCATTTGTTAGTAGTTTCACCGTGTCATTTGTATGACCAAGTCTTTAGATTAATACGACTATTTTCATTAAATGCATCTATCACAAAATTTACTAATCTGAGCTTCAAATAATACAAATTCTATAGGCCACTTCAATCTCACCCCCAATGATGTTAAGTTGGATATCTGATAAAAAATTAGGAAAGCATACTTATTCACTTGTTCTCTTCAAGTAAAAAACAGTGTCAGAACACAACACTTGTTTCTTTAAATACTATCAATAGATGCCTAATATTGTTTTATAAAAATTCTGCCACAGGATGAACTGCTTGGTACTATTTAGCACTTCATTTATAAAATGAGTTTGACAAAAATAATTTTCAACTTCATTGCCCACATTTACTTTCCTTATAGTCAGATTTTAATAGATGTTGAAGCAGCCTTGCTCTCTACCAATAAAACAAATTGCAAAATTTATCTGTCTTCACAAAAACCAAGATGTATTTCATATGGTTTCCTGAAATTTCCAAACCTTGTATACAAAGTGTCATTATGTGTACTGATAAAAAGGCATGTATAAAAAAATACCACATTTATTAACAATATATTTTCCTATAACAGCAAAAATTCACTGAAAAAAGTTTATGCTACAGTATTACTCACCTTTCGCTTTACCTTTCATTCTGTTATCATTCTGTAAATTAAAAGAAGAAATAACTTAACTAGGAAAAGCAATCTAATATTCTATGCATGACATTGGCACACACTCGTATGCTTGTTTTGGGTTGCTATACAGGATATAAAGAAAATAATAATGTATAACTTGAAAAACAAAAAAAGTTCTAAAAACATTTTATAATCTGTAAGTACAAGGTGTACAGTACGGTAAATGGCATAAGAACCATTTGAGCCTAGGTATAGAAAACAAAAACTAGCCAGATCCAAAAACTTACAATTGTTTAAAACATTTGTCTTATTAAACAATGACACTCTATAATTATTGAAATATGTGATATGCACACACTTTCAAGAGCCACATTAAGAATGTAATGATATATTAAAATACGATATATTGCACTATTATATAAAATGATACATGTACCATGCTACAACACTAAACATGCAAAAGTATGTTTTAATCTTTAATATGCTGCAGTTATTCATTTGTAAATCATAAAAAAAGATGCTTGGTTTTATGATCCTGTGCTTGTGCATAAATTGCATGTGGGCTGTCCCACTATGTAATATGTATGTGTAGCATGCAGCAAATAGCAGTTAAGTAAAGATGAAAACAAAGAATTTGAAATTCAGTCTTTTGATGTTTCACAGAACAGCTGTGTGAAAATATTTTATGCTTCCTGTTGACACCACACATAGATTAACAAAACTTGGCAAAAAATAACCTTGAGTGCAAGCTGTAAAAAACAAACAGGGGGGAATACAACAAACATGTTGATACACATACCTCAGCATCATGCAGAGGTCGTTTGCAGGAAGTGTACAGAAAACCAGCTGAATGAATTCTGATAAATGACTCAAAATAAGCACTTTTTTTTTGGTGGGTATTAAAATTATTAACAGATAATATATACAGAATAAAATCAAAGAAAACAATTTTATTAAAAAACAACAAAACAGCATTTGCCATTATTCAGATGTAAAAATAGTTAATTTTTCACTATTTAACAGTTGTATTTCACTTGCTTTTATCTTGTGGCTGTTGATACTACAGCATGTGACAGTTTTGTTCCATCATTCAAATATATCCACATGACAATGATAGGTAAACCTAGCAAAATGTAGCATATTTTTTATTAAAATTTTAAAAACATAATTACTTGTTTTATCTGCAAACAAAACTTTAATTTTTGTATTACAAGTTCCTTTAATCTAATTCTGTAATGCTCGGTATTTACTTAAGCAAAATTAACAATAATTAATTATTTTTGGGGGTTGGGGAAAAAGAAATTTTGAATTTATGTTATTGTACTTTCAAATACACTTACCTCACACTTATCCACCACAGATGACTGTAAAGCTTCTCCTACCATATCGAGATCTTCTGTATTAGTCTAAAATGGATTAGCATTGAACATACGATTATTTTAAAAAGTCTTCAAGTAAAATATTCTGTGTTATCTTATCATTTTTGTACTTCCAACAATTTACCTGATTAACCCTTTCTTGCTTGGTATTACAAGGGCAAATGACACCATGAAATTTCAAAAACATCTGTTCAAATCTCTTCCTTGAAATCATTTGCAAAATAAATCTGTAAATCAAATGTTCAATATTTGTTTTTGACAAAGTAGTAAAAAAAAATCCAAACTGCTAAACCTAATTAAAATTGACCCACTTGTAATTTCTATTTTAGATTCGCATATATTTAAATTTCATGCCTTGCAGAGATAGATGTTATAAAGTTACCATTTTAAACAAAAAAACAAATGCAAATCTGTAGTTTTTTTTATATGTTTTTTTCTTATTTCTGGCATAAACAATTTCAAAACAATGTATCTTTGAAAAGGTGTCAAAAATTGTAAAATTCAACTCACAGCATTTTTTGTTTTACAGATTCCAAAATATTGGAAGCTAATAAAATGATACATATGTCACCTGAAAGCTGGTATTATTTTTTCTTTACAGTCTGTTTGCCAGTGAGTTTCATTTCTTCTTTGTACAAATTATAAATTACTAAACTTGCAGTTACTACACCAGGCAGAAGCATTTCATCATCATAAGCTATTAAATATTCAAATTCTCATAAAGTTATCTTTTTTTAATACTACATAAAGACAATTTATTGGTTCCCCTGCTTTGGTATTTTGTTGAAGTAATTACTTTGGAAGTTTCTTTTTGTTTTACAAAACTTAATGCTTGTAAATTTAAACTACTGGAATATTATGGTAGTTTTCAGCCCAGCATGAGCTTAGAGATCAGCAGTGAGGTATTTTTGAAACAGATGTCCATAATTTATAACAAGATTACTCAGGTAACTCTTTTAACTTTCTCACTAGGGACTGACCTCATAACCATTTTGTGTTTATTATAGTTTCATGTCATAACTTTTAATAAACTAAGCATATCTTCATGAAATTTTGCAGATTATCAGTAAATATTACAATATCAGATTTGTTTATTAAGTTTTAAGATTTTTTAAGAAATGATTTGCTCATCTAACATGCAAAGTAATTTTGATTTTAAGATTAAAAATACTTTTATGCATCAGAAAATTTTCAAATTTCAGATAAAAAATCTTTATAACCTTCAGATAATTATCAAATGTTTTTTTTTTTAAAAGCTTTAGATTTTATCTGTTATTTTTACTATTGTATCTCTGTATGGACTTGGTCAATTTGACCAACCTCATAACCACCATAAAAAATTAGGAAATAAGTATAAATTATGCTTCTTTCATTCTAAAATGACTAAAAGTTCTTACACAAATGTTTAGTCTAAATAGCTTAAACCTCATAACATTATACATCTTTATATATTTATTATTTTTATTTTATTGACCTTTCAGTCGTGTCTGACTAACATGATAAAAGTTGCAATGATGCAGCACATGTGCACTCATATTACCATATCCAAGAATATAAAACTGGTCCTTAGAAAGTGACTTATCTTGGCTGTGTTCTAGAGGACCAGCATTTTGTAAAATACAGTCACATTTTGGGTTATAATACATGATTACTATTTACAAATAAGTTCTCAAATTTCAGTAATTTTTCTTAGAATAATAAATAAACAAGTATAGAAAACAATTATCTTGTCTAGTTACGAACTTTGTACTCATTTCCTGCTTGGTTAGCCTTATCAAGTGTCGCACGTGGAGAATGTAAAACAAAATATTTTTTTTAGGTTTTATATATGCATTTTGAAATAACAAAAAAATCATAAATTATTATATAAATACCACAGAATTCCACTATAATTTACCAAGCTCAGTAACTAAGCTGTATCTGGGTCTAAAAAAAAAATACAATTGTTTGTTGACTGGCATTCAAAATTTTATTGAACTACTATTTCTTGAATTTATGTCAATAAGTTTGGTATCAAACTGTAGATTATAATGCAAATTTTAGAACTATACATTACTCAATTTCTTAATTTAAAAGTAAATATTAAAAGAAAAAGATAAACATCAATTTTTGTGTTTCACGTGGTATGTTGAATGCGGCACTGGTTCAAATTAGATGTTTGTTAAGTCAAAAACTAAAACTGAGTCTATAGTTTCATACGAATTAGAAACTAAAATTACAGAAATAACCAATTGGAAGCTCAGAATGTCCTCTTAGTGGTTTTCTCAGCCTTTCTAACACGACTAGTGCCATTTCTTTCTTTTGAACCAATATTTCAATGACGTAAGGTGTGTATTTAGCCTGCTCAAATTTCATATTCTTTTAGACTAAAATATATCTTAGTTACTAAGCTTGATAAATTATAGTGGAATTCTATGTACCGGTGTAGTAATTTATGATTTCTTAGTTGTTCAAATGTATATATAAAAATTTTAAAAAATATCTTTTTTCATATCGTCCATGTGCAAAATTTTTAAAGGCTTAGCAACCTACATCAAGCAGCAACTGAGTACAAAGGTCATAACTAGAAGAGATAAGTGTTTGCTTTACTTCTTTATTTACTGTTCTATGTTTTAGTAAAAAATATATTTAAGAACCTATTTCAAAATAGCAATAATCTATATACATATATAATGTAAAATAATTGAAATGTGACTGTATTTTACAAAATAGTAGTCTACTAAAACACAGCCTAGACAAGTTACTTTGCACAGACCATAGGTTAGTTTTATGTTATTTGATACAGTAATATGAGGGCACATGAGCCCCGTCATTGTAACTTCTGTATTGTTAGCCAGGCACAGGTGAAAGAATATAATAAAAATAATAAATATATATAAATGTATAATGTCATGAGATTTAAGCTATTTTGTCTAAACGTTTATGTTTTTGTGTTATAATATGTGTTCATTCTAGAATGAAAGAGGCATAATTTATGTTTATTTTGTAATTTTTTATGGTGGTTGCAAGTTCAAATCTACCGAACCCGTACAGAGATTAATTACTGAAAATAACAGATAAAATATAAAGTTTTTTCTTAAGAAATGTTTGATAACTATACAGACATTATAAAGATTTTGCATGTGAAATTTCAAAATGAAAATGACTTTGCATGATAGATAGGCAAGATGTGAAAAAAAAAAAAAGGCATGAGAGAAACCTTATAAAAGAAAGGATGTGATAGGTCAGCATTGTAAGTGGGTCTGATTTTCTAGTTTATAGCTTCATAAACAAATGAGGTTGAAGGCTATAATTATGCTTTGCCTAAGTAATATCCTTATTATAACGATTGACTTACATTAAATTCCGTATTTTTTGAGAGGTGGTAAATGAATTAGAGAAAAGGGAAGACGTAGATAACAAATGTCACAATTCTCATACTGGGAGAGATTGAGGTTTTTTAAAACATTTCTTTATAAAATTAAGAACTTAAACTTAATTAATATTAAAATTTTATTCATTAACTATGTTTTGATCCCAGATTTATTTGCATACAATGATAATAAAGTAGTTTAAATTTTGAATGTAACTCTTTAAAAGGTTGTGACACGCACACTTTGACCTACCGGTAGCACAAGGGTTAATACTATGATTGAAAATAATGTTGTCTAAATTTTACATTCTACAGAATATTAATCACTTTATTAAGTCATTAATATGTCTAACTTCTACTTCAATAAAATGCAAATTTTTTTTAAATGCATAATAAAGTATTTTTTTAAATAAATTTTATTTCATTCTCTCTTTCTTTCCTTTACCATTCCACATAAAGTGTTACAAATATTCATAAAGTTCTTACAGTAACTGAGTACACCTACAATTTGTAAGATTTGCATAGGCTCTGTGAAAAAAATATTATTTCAGATATTTCTGCAGGAAAATTAATATATGACTTAGTGGGCAAATTTTTTTTTGGAAGTTTGTAATAAGTTGTGATGTTTGTTTAAATACAAATCTCTTAATTTTCATTCTAATGTAAAGTTGAAAATCATTATTTAAATAATTCAATTCATTAGAAACTTAATATTAATGAAACAATTAGTGTGCAAAAAGGTAATTTTTAAACTATATACAGACTTATTTAGAATTCATGCCTTTGCTATATTTAGTTTTTCTGATTCCAACAGTAATTTGTTTGGGATAAATGGCTTACAGTCAGACAATTCCCACAATCTTGATATTGGAAACCTTATCAAAAAAGCACTAAGACAAAGTTTTACAATCAAATTTATGAAGTCCAGGTAAGAGTATTAACACCATGCATACAACAACATACAAAAATATTTATTTCAAGTTGATACCTTTTCATCATCAGAATCTTCTTTCTCATCATCATCATCTAGGCCATCAGCATTGCTCTGGGTTTCTGAATCATTTAAGGATCTCTCTAGAAGAATACAAGGAAAAAATTAAAAGAGAAAAATATCTCAGAAACATTCTCACCTAATAATGCTCATATTTTATCTTCAAAAACCTATTTTTCTCATTAACTTAGAATTCAAAGGTTTAATATAAATGGTGCTGAAAAATACCAGTTATCTTTTACAGTCCATTAAGATGTCCAAGATAAACATATCATATATTCCAAATTTTTAGAACTGCTGACAGCTTCTCTTCATGGTTTACACCAAAGGTAAAGTCCATTATTATAGGTTAGCACTTAAATGATTAATTTTAGAACAATTGCATTAATGACTTCTTTTGAAAGCATCTATATTAACTCATTCTGGATTTAAGGCTCAAATAATGATTACTTTCTTTGTTGTTTATAAACCTACAAATGTGTTTATTGACTGTGGAATCAATCTTTGCCATCAATCCCACTTGAACAGTTCTGTCTATTTTAGAATTAATCTTTAACGAGTTCTAATTCATTTTATTTCATAAAGTATTCCATACATTAACTGCTTTTCTAATGAGATGTTCTAGATTTCTTTTGTATATTGTCTGGAATGAAATCCTTCATTAACTCATTCAGCACAGGCTCAGTCCCTGGGACAGACCACGTAACCATTTTGTGTTTGTTATAGTTTTCATGCTATAACTCTCGCAACCACCATAAAAATTAGGAAATAAATATAAATTATGCCTCTTTCATTCTAGAATGAACACAAATTATAACACAAAAACATAAATGTTTAGACTAAATAGCTTAAATCTCATAATATTATTAATTTACATATATTTATTATTTTATTATATTGACCTTTCAGCCATGCCTGGCTAACAATACAAAAGTTACAATG